ACAATATTATGTGTTCAGAATCACCCAGTGTATAGCAACTTAAGTAATTCAAATCAGAATAAGCCATTTCAAATCAATTGTGGCAACCAGGTTTCTGTAATGTCAGCTTGGCCATCAAGTCTACTGTGGATCCAAACACTACTACTTTTCTTTATCTAACATTAAGTAGTAAATACTCAAAATACCACAAATCAGTGGAAGCCAATGTACATCAAAGCCTCAGTAAAAAAACCTCCACATCAAGCAAAGTGACACAGTTTCTCTTAACTTTTGCAGTCAATGTATGTTTGAATTGACTCTTGGTAACACCAAAATTATGCTGTGAGGGTCTTGTTCTGGCAGGAAGCTAGGGTTTTGCAGGGATGTTAGAACAGTTTTGCTATGGACATACCTAAGGGGAAAAAAAACCCAAACCAAACAACCCACCAATCTAAAATAAAGAAATTTAGACAGATTATTAAGGCTGTATAGTTAATGGCAGAAGAAAAATGAAAACACTTTGAAAGCACTCTTAACTGGGTTGCTTCATACATTCAGTACTGGTTTTGGCTCAGATTATAAACACTGCATTAATAAAGATGAGTACATTTCTAGCTTAGCATTAAGCATTTAAGCCTTTGAAATACAAATTTTCCAAAGGATAATTTTCAAATCTTCATGATATGACATGCCATCAAAATTAACTCCATATATTTACACCTATCATTTTAAAGAATGCTTTAATGCTAACACACTTTGAATTAAAGCCTTTCAACAAATACAGGAAGAAGTAACAGAGTTTTGCAGATGGCTTTTATGACTTCTTTTTAGGCTTAAAAGTTGTGATTACGGCCAATTTTTGAAACAAAGTACCACATATAGCTGGTGGAAAAAGCACAGAGGTAATTTAAGAGGTTGCCAACATATTCATCTTTGGGTATTGCCAAATTTTCAAAAGCCTAGTTCTTCCAAATTATAGTATTCATACTTGCATATTACATGCATGCCTTAAAATTTTGCTTTGAAATACATTTTGACCTATGTTTCAAACCACAGATTGCAACATATCTTAAATGTCATGCATGACTCGGTCAGCACTTTTCTACACCTTCTTCTTGGTGACAACTTTGAAAAAAGATTCCGATCTCAGATCTCAAATTTTGAGAGATTCAGATCTCAAATACATAAAAATCTGTTTTAAAAAATCTCTCAAATTCAAGGTCCTATGTGTTAAATTAAATATTCAGAACAGGTATTTCGTAAAAAAAACTTCTCCATAAAAAGTTTTTCTTTCAAAAAAGTTTCTTTTAAACAGAAACATAACTAAAGTGAAATGGATGACATCAGAGTTTACTTTTCTAAGATTCATTCCAGTTTTTCAGCTTCTGTAGTAGTACTCATGTATGCAAGTATAATGCAATTTATATGTAGAATGCAAAAGTTAATTACAACTCATTCATTTTGTAGGCAAATCAGTGTTAATTAAACAGGCTAATGTGTGAAAGGCTAGATAAAAGTTGCACCTTATAAAAACAAAGCAGATGTTTCAACTTATAGTTTTAATATAGCAATCAAAGAAAATTCCAAATACTGTACAGTGAAGTGTAATATAGTACACTATATACTGTTATAATACACTATTGTTACATTACAGATAAAAAAATCAAATATAATTAGTACAGCAATCACAAATAAAACAAACCAAACTGTGCTGGGCAACAGCCAGTACTGTGAAGATGGTATAGTTTCTATGCTAATTTATTTTTAATTCAACATGTAAAGCACTTGCTGTTTAAAAAGATTTATTTTCTAAATATATATACACTATTTTAATTCTTATTTATACATTTTAAATAGCATTCCCTCCTAAAAGTGCACTCTTTCATTTCTTGGCAATAATCCTCGTTAAACGTAAAATAATTCTGAAAATACCACTCTTGTTTCAACCTTTTATTGCTCAACCGCAGGCATAAGGGCTCAGAGGGAATCCTGCATTCTAAAGATCTTAAGCAATTTCTTCAATTTTAAGAAGCTAAACTGATATCCACAAGCAAAACAAAGAATCCACTTACTGTTGTGGCTTTTTTAACAGAAGGATCAACTTCATATTATTATTATTTTACAAAAGCATGTAGATTCTGCTATTTGAAAATGGGAGCCAAACAAATGCAGAGGTAACAATGGCATCTTCTTAAGTCATTCATTTTTCATACATTTCAGACCGAGCATTGCCCTCCTAATTGTTAAGCATACTACAAATTTTATTATCTGGCATTTTCAGCACACTGAAAAAGTAGCAAGCAACTCTGCCAACCCTGTGACAGCGGGAACAGGTTTTACTTTTTGAAGGATTGTAAATGAAGCATTTTGGTCTTGAAAGTGTGCCTGTTGTACTGGGTTGTTAGTGTACAGCCTTGTCGCACGGTGCCTCTGTGATGCTGCTAGAGCTTTCTGTCGGAGGCAACGTCTAGCTCACGTTTTGTAATTATCAGAAGACTAGTAAACTATATGGGATTCACAAAGCCAACAATATACATTGCTGTTTTGTGACTTTAGCATTGAAGACATCCTAAATACATTTATGTGATTTCATTTGAAAAGCAGCTATTTATTTTCCCTCACTGAAATGCAAACAATTCACAGAGAAACAGCACTATCAAAATGTCAGCCTTACTAAGTAGCCAGCCATTTGAAGCAGTAAAAATCTTGCATTTGCCTGGAAAACTGATCTGTTCTCCTCAGTTTTCCCATATGCTCGTCAGCAATCTCATTCATTCTCCCTTTTTTCTTTTCTCTGTACTGGGCCTGTATTTTCAGTAATCATCTTTCATTTAGGTTATATATATTAAACCATAGTAAAGTTCAGGATTTTCAAGTAGTTTAAGTCACCTTTGCAATGAGACACTGTGTAGAAGGTGGTTGGCTCCTACACAAGAAAGTAATCAAGGCAGGTACTCAAAAAGACTTTAGAGCCACAGCTTCTGTTCACAGGCAATTCAGTAGCAAGAAGTTTGGGTTGGTTTGTTTTTTTTTTGGAGAAAGGGACACTCTTCACACCATTTGAGAAGTCCTATTGACATGGCTCCACATCCACAATGAGCCAACATCTCCCCTGCCCTTGTACCCCATCACTATTTTCCTGACTCTAACAGGGAAATCTAACAGTCACACGGGTGCTCCTAAGACAGGCATGCACATTTGCCTGATCTTACATTTGCACCCACTGCTAGCAATCAAAGGAAAAATCTGTTCAAATTTACACTTCGGTGTTCTTTATTTCACTTCTCCTGTACAGTTACACATCTCACCGGCATGTAGATGAAGTTTAGCTTGAGTGTATCAAAAGCCGTCTTTCTCAAAAACACTGATATTTAAATGCACGAGAAAGCTACGTGAAATAAGAACACTGCAAAGAAATATGCACAATCCTGCTTTACACCAAAGCAGTTCACAGCAGTGGATCTTGTGATTTTGACATCATTTCTTTCTGAGACCATTTTGTTTTAGGAAGTTCTGATCTACGTGACTTGCGTGGACCCGAGATGACACTACGGGTGAGTCAAACAGAGCTATTATCTGTGTCTATTTCTATTTAGATAAGAAGGAAAACGTCAAATTACTGCTGAAATGGGAAGTGTGTCAAAATTTAACCAAGTCTTCTTCTTTACATAGTAAAAGGCACACAAACTTCTGTAGTCTTATCAGAAAGGCATGAAAGAAGTAAGCATCTTCCCTTGAAATAAGGATGATGTGCAACAAATATTTCAATTTATTTCAAACTTAAAATTCTCTCATAGATAACTGCCCAAATTTTTTTTGCAGCCAAGGAAGACTTATTTTTCTATAGAAAAGGTTATAAGTGTCTAAGTGATAGTTACCTTGTCTAAAATGCAAGAGATCCAAGAGATTCCTCCCCCTCAGCCTCTCCTGACTTAAACTCCTTCCCAGGAACGTGCCATCGCTATACTTTTCTACATCTCACGCTGTGACAAAGCACAAGCCTCTACTCAACATCTTCTACATAGAAGTAGCCTTCAGACAGCTAGACTGATTCATGGGAGGCTTAAGTGTTTTCAGAAGTCATGGCAGGCTTCCAGCTGCTGCATGTGCATCCTGTTTCTCATTGAATAAGCCCTGCCAGTTAATCAGTGCATCAGCAAGGTCAGTTCTGGTGAGCCAAATTACTTCATACATTCCAAGCTTCCAAATTGCTAACTTACGGGTTAGCAATTTGAGATCTTAAAATTTTTCATTTATTCGTGAAAAGGTGATTCTTATTTTTTAACCTATAAGTAGTATACTAAATCATAAAATATTTATTCCCTCTATGTAAAAAGTTAATCAACAGAGGCGTTTTAATTTACTTTGACAAAACGGGGGCTATTCTTTAAGTTGCTTGCTTCAGTTAATTTTTACATATAAAAATAAATCCTCCCTCATGGGACATTTTACCATACTAACGCTTAGAACTGTTTAAGTGATTAGAAATGTAAAAAGTGAGGAGACTTTTCTGAATATAAACATATACAATACAAACAACATTTGCAAACTGGTAAAAACCCACATGTGCACAAACACAGACTTCAATATTTAAATGCTCTTAATTCCTTTGAAGCTGTATTAACATCTTTCATCCATTCAATGTTATTTTACCATTAGAGGAAGCAACAATAGTGCACTTAAATAGGACTGTGAAGATAGGAAGCAAAGTGCAGTATCGGATACACATTCCATCCTTAGGGAGCAAGCCCAACGGCTGCATCTTAAGAACTAGCACTGCAGGTCCGATGAACACGCTACTTAAGTGGATACCAGCTATATTATCACTGATGCAGGGAAATCTGCATCACAAACTCAAGTGAGGCTAATAGAGGTGGGCATGTATTCCTTGTTTCCATGGAGTGAACAGTGACCTTCCAAAAGCTCAATTATCACTCAACGCTTTAGGATAATGTATGTTAGAGAGTCATTTCCTTCCAATAAATTGTTAATTTGCTCTGGAGAGGACCGCTGTTATTTAATTTTTGCCATTACTAACCAATGCTAGTAATCAAAGTCTTAAAAGAAATGGATTTGCCATTGAACATTTGTTGTTTCTTGCAATTGCCAACTTCTTCTCTCCTGTACTTGTATTAAAAGTTGCACAACATCTGACTAGCTCAGTATTTGGGAGGAAATAAAAACATGCTATCACTTACTAACAGAGCACCAAAATGGTTGTGTTGGCTCAGACAGCCATGCATAACCACACCACATTCACTTTATCTAAGTAGCCTTTTTTCTAACTTGCTTAAACTGACAATATGCAGAAATTAAGAGAGTTTACTAAAGTTACACTTATTCCAAGATTTCTGACAAGCGTATACAGCTGTATGAATGAAAAAGTTTTTAAATCGGAGGAAGTGCCAGCACAACATAATTAAAGCATTGTATATGCTGCGTTATCAAATTTAGCAGAAGTTTAGTTTCAGTTGCTTTTTGAAATTTATGTATAATTCATGTTTATAGTGTATTTTTTGAGTGGAATTAAGTACCTGGGACAGGATTAACTTTGTCTTGTTTCTAGTTTTGCCTGTTCTAGCCTTTCCAGTAACCTTAAACTAGCATGGTAAGAACTTTGCATGGGCTTAAATTATAAGACTTTTAAGGAATTAAAAATTACAAAGAATTTTCAAGAACCCACATTTACAGCAGATATTCATCTCAGTGCATTTCCTAATAACTAATTTACAGGTAACAGAGCCAGCCTGGGCAGCAGTATGGTAATATTGAAAGCTATTGCCAATCACACGCTTATCATGCACTGAATAAGATGATATAATCTTTGACATACATACAAGATTTAATAACTAATCACTTTGTGTGGCCCAGCCAATAAACATTTGAACAGTAATTTCTTCTACCCTTATTAGATTTTAACCTATCAAGAGTGATCCATTGGCTCAGTTGTATTAGTGATTCCTGCATCTTGACTATCCATCTCCTCAAGCTCCTCAACAGAATTTCCCTTTTGTGCTTTAGACCTTGCAGGAAATGCTGTGCCCACAGAATTCACCACACTACCATCAGTTGATTCGGTATTCAAGTGTTCAGTACCACCTGGTGCAGAAAACGATTCGGGCAAGCCAGCCTGAAAGCTCCCAGTTTTAGCAGTTGAACTCACTGCCTCTGCTTTTCTTGGAGATAGATCAACTGATGCTGACTGCTCTGTATTCTGATCCCGCAAATGTCTATCCATTGAAGCCTGAATAGAAGAGACCATTTCCTGCAACTTTTTTCTCTGTGCCTCAATCAAAGTGGGGTCAAGCTGCCTGCTGTCTCTCATTGTCACAACTCCCGGCGCAATTCGGATAAGCTCACTGTTACCAGAGGCAGCTGTGAATACAGAAGGCTCAATTTTAGAAGGACTGAAGTCCGTTTCTGTGCTATGCTTTCTTAAAAGTGGTGTTTCCCTGGCTCTTTGATCATGTTGTTGACTACTAGATGCAGTTCCTAGTGAATGGCCCTTTCCTTGAAATGCAGTTATGTTATGTAGTTGGTCAGATTTCTTTTTCACTACTCCACCACTACCCAGCTTCAGCATTCCGTGTGAAGGACTTGCTTCCCTGCTTCTTGAAGTAGCTTCTGCTCGCACTTGACTTAAGGCCTCTTTAACCAACTCTTCAACGTCAGGACCAATAGGAAAGTGCCCAGCAGCATCCACACACAACTCTAATCTGTCTTCTGCTGCATTGTACACAAAGTTTTTACCAGGCAGATGTGGAAAAGTACAGTGCTTGCCATCAGCCAAACCTATGAAGATAGAAAAAGTTATTCAAAGTGCTAACATATATTTAAGGCATGCTCTGAATACACGGTAATTATTGTATTTAAACTTATTGCATGAACTATGTAAAAACAAACACACTGAAACTTACTATTGTGGCAGAAAAAAAAAAATTAGGCTTTTATGCCGTATGACAGCAATCACAGTATACCCCTAAGATGCTGCAGCCTTCTGTGGCGATTCTAATGAAGAGACAAGACTGCAGTATTAATTAGATAAAATAACTGCCTTGCTGTAATGCACAGTTCTGATACAACATAAGTTAAAGAAATAGTATATGCATGCAGTAACACAAAGCAAGCCATACCCCATCACTACCACCACCCACCCCAAAACCACACAAAAAAACCCCAAACAAACAAAACCCCAGAAAACTGCCAAGAGCACATTTCAAATCACTGCCTATCTATAGAAGTACTATTTAAGACCACTTCCGTACTCGGTAAAATTGTAGTAGGATTTCAGGGTGTACAACTGCTGCTAAGCCTGAGGACTTCAAATTTGCTCTTTATCGTCTTCTCAGAGAGGAAGTGTTGCTAGATAAACAAAAGTGTTTCAAGCTTACTATGCTTAGTAGTCCTGGAGATCATAACTGTTAACCTTTACAAAACAAACATGAGGCATAATATTTTGGATCTGCTGTTTGTTTCATTGTCCCACTTACAATTTGACAGATCTGCTAAAACTGAGAGTTCACTAGACAAATTTAAGTTCTGAAGCTGCTCTTTGTCAAAAATGGGCAACATTCGGTTTTCCAGTTTATCATCATAAAATACAAAACAACTCTTTCAACTCTGTCCCATACATGTTGTGGTAAAAGCAGTAAGGTATCACTTTAGTGATGACAGCTTTCTGTGAGTTAAAAGCTATCTGCAGATGAAAAGTTGGCTGCAACAACTCTCTTCAGTTCTATCAGCTACGCAAGGAGAGCTGCAATAGAACTCCACTTTTTAAGAAGTGCCAGGAATAGGTACATTAGTGGGATTTTTCCTCATATTGTCTTAGAATTCTTGAAGAAAAACATCAGAAAATATGCTGAAGGGAAGAAACACAACAGGCAAATCCTATTTCTGTGTTATCAAATAACTTGTCAAAACAAGTATTCTGGGCATCAATGATAAGGTCACTCAGATAATTTGAAACATTATTAAACTGTTTTTATACTGATGAACCAACTGACCAGTCTCACTCATGCTCCACAGCTTCCAATGCACACACTTTACAGTTGCAGAGAATCTACAGATGAGATTTTATTTTGAGAACATCATGCACTTAGCTCCTTTCTTTATATATCCATGGGAACCAATAACCAAACAGCCAAAACTCAGACAGAACAAAATTTAACCCCAAACACCTATCTGTCTAACTTGGGCTGGAGAACATATTTGAACTACATTATTTACCAGCTCAACCTTCTATGATAGACCAAAACTGCCTCTGAAATTGCAATCCTGAAACCTCAAAAGAAGATCTTAAACAAAACCTACTAAATCAAATTTCAACTGATTAACAGTACCTACACTTGACAGGAAGCTTTGTTCCAAATGTCCAGTATAATTGGTAATGAGACACTGGCACAGGTTGCCCAGAGAAGATGTGGATGCCCCATCCCTGGAAGTGTTCAAGGCCAGGGTGGATGGGGCTTTGAGCAACCTGGTCTAGCAGGAGGTGTCCCTGCTCATGGCAGGGGGGTTGGGACTAGATGATCTTTAAGGTACCTTCCAACTCTAACCATTCTGCGATTCTAACAGCTGCATTATTACATTAACTAAAATATTACATATAAGTAAGGAGCTTCTTTAAGTGAAAAAAATAGTTAGGTTATTGCACACTGTAATTGTTTAATGTGGGAATTTAGTAGTTCATAAAATATTAGAATCATACAGGTATGTTAATACTGAAACAGTAATTCTGCCAACCAAGGTAGTGCAAAATAACTGCACACACAGAAATGCAATAATGTTCCAATACAGAACATAATCTCCCACAGCCTTAGTTCTTACATTGTCAGTTGGCAAAAATGACTTTTAAGTCAGGCATTTTCTGTGAGTTAATGACCAGCTGGGTTGCAATCCCTTGGATTCATTTCAGGTTCACAACTGTGGCTAGTCATTAATCGGTCCAAAACGTCCTTTCCATCAGGCACTGCTTAAGCTAATTCCCTTGCCACAAACAATACACCAGTCTTTACTGTACAAGCACAGTAAAAGAAAGACAACTAAAAGGAAGCAGATCTGCTATAAGACACTTGTATGCTAATTCTATTACCCAGGCTAATAATTCAGTGAGAGGTAGTGGGCACTGACTATACCACTCGTTTTAATTACTGCAAACAGAACAGAAATTACGTGGTAAAATACCTGTTTCCAGAAATAATCAAGATTAAGTTAAGGTTGATAAAACTGCCTAAGAAGAAATCAAACAGTAAGAAAGCAGCAAAGGAATCATTATTATAGATTAAACCACAAGAGCTAAACTATTAATGCAAAGTCTGCAATAAGAAAAAAAAAATTAAATGAGAGAAAATAACTGAATAGTACTTTCTTTTCTAAAGAAACAGATGTTATTTTTTGTAGGTAGTATTTGTAAAGCCATCTAAAAATCAAATATACTCTAACTACTTGCTTGGTTATTGTGCACATAGTCAAAGATGCAACATTTATCAACACAAGAAGAGGATGGATAGCTTTGCCTTTGAACAACAATCTTTTGAATACGAAAGACAAATTTAACCAACCATTTAAATGCAGTACCCCTGTATAAAATATCCACTAAGAAGCAGACTAGAAAGATGAACTGCTTATCCAGTAAGTGTTTTAAAGTGTAACAGGAATAGGTCTTATGATCTTCTCTTTGTTTTATCTTTCAGGGGAAAACAAAAATTAAAAAAAAAATAAATCAGTTGACTTACTGAAGTTGATTGTACAATTCAGGAAGTTTAAATGGAGATGTGTAGTTGCAGAGAAAGTTTCAGAAAGAAGGAGATTTAAGTTGAATGAGTTAGCCTTAGATTCCCTAGTCTTAGGGTCTCTGAGGGAGCATGAGTTCTGCAATATTATGAAAATGAAAATGTACCATGGTAATAAATTAAAAATATATTTATGCTTACAAGTGACTCAATACCAATTTACAATTTTAAAGATTTGAAAACAGAGGAGGGATAAAAACAAAAACTACCTGTGGTTTTCTTCATTATGCTGTAGAATACTCCACCTTGCTGAAACAATTGAGGAAGCCCCTTTGCATAAGACCAAACATCTTCTCCTGTAAAAATCAAACACAATAATTAGAATTAAACATTCATATTTTAATATTCTAGACAATGGCTGAAAATGTAACTCCTTGAATTAAAAGCTGAATCTTTACTCTCTTCTATGCAATTAAGAATTTGAATTTCTATAGCAAATTTACAGAATGAGAGCCTATTGAGAAACTTTCAGGAAAACATACCACCGTCTGCAGTCAAATATCCTACATGTTCTAGTACAAACATTCTGAAATTTTATTTGATCCAAACTGCAGCTCCTGGTTCTTTGCCAGACCATACACCCAAGTCTCCATTCCCCTCCTACCCATGCTTCAACATAAAACTAGGAAATGACTAACACGCTTCCAAAATTCAAGCACATACCCTTGCACATTAAAACCTCAATTCTATATCCCTACACCTTCCCAAAAATCAGATCTCAATTTCACAGCTGCCCTATAGCAGACTTTATGCTGTAGCTGAGATAGAAATGTCCACACAGGCAGCTGCATAGAAGCTGTGTCTATACCTTGCTTTTCTTGAGAGTTACAAACAAAATACCAACTGTGAGGCTCCAGCAGTCCTGTGTAACTGGCATTTTTCAAAGATGCGAAAAATGGCATTGAAATGTGACAACTTGAAATGCCACTGCGAGGAAAAAAAAACAAACCAAACACCTAGACTATGTAAGGAAAGGAATATAAAGAACAGAAAAACGGGGTTACAATGAGAGTATCAGTGACCTAACAGCACCTGCTAAATCAGTTCAGATCTGCGTTTTTACCTATACCCTTTTCCTCATTTTGCTAACGACTTAGCTGCTTCAGAGAAGTGACGTGTGATGTAGCTGTCAAAGTAGTGCAAACAAAAAGCACCAATAAATTACATTCTCCTGATGCAGAAACTACTGCGCGTACACATATTCAGAAAAAAATGCTTTTCCCACTTTATATCAAACATTCAGAGAACATACTGAGATACTTTAAATAGAAACTGCACCCTTCTTTAGGCATCAAGATCTCAATAACCATGTCTCAATTTTCTATTAAAATTGGAGAATGTAAATCATCAACTAAAGTTAACTGGATGTGCTTACTACTTGGAATAGAGATAGTTGCGATGTGTGAGGCTGTAAAATAGTACCCACCAATATTTCTCTGCTTGTTGTTAAGAGCAAAATAAAAGTTAAAAGTTATTTTTAATAGCTTTCTCATAGTGAGTATAGAGCACATGTAAATCCCTCCTTGCATTTCTTTACTGCATATCCCACAAGGTAACTGTCGCTACTCTCCTATCCCACCCGCCTCAGGTGAGAAAATGTTTCATCCTCGTGACAGTGGCATTATGTGCTACATTATGCTTTGAGACCCTTCAAGCCATGCTCTGACTTTTCTGTTTCCCTTCCCCGACAGGCACGGGACTCCATACACTCCCCTGCTTGTCTGTCCCCCCACCAGAAGGATTCTGACACTCATCTCTCCGCTTCAGGTGTTACTCAAGTCCCCATTCTCTATAAAAAGGTACAGTGCAACTTTATTATGTTTTGTCTTTAAAGACAGGAGACCTACATAATCTGATTCATTTTAAGTGCATTCCCTTGAACCATATATGCTGTCGTTCATTGCATTCATTTGCACATCAAGCTCACAGGTTTGGCTTCACTGCCTAGGAAGAACATCTGAGTAAAACCAACTACTTGTCTTTCTTATTTTCCATGATATACTAAAGAAGGTGGTCTTGTCTTTTGACTTTATCCTGATAACTCCTCTCTACTGACTTGGTAATAAATTTGAAGCTCCTCTCCAGTTCTCACTGACCCACTAAAAAAAATTTTTTTAAAACAAATACAGTTTAAAAGGAGAATTCTCTTTTCCTACCCAGTAAGGCCACTGCTTTCCCTCTCCTTCAAACAGCTGCATGGAGGAAAGACAGTTACTGCTGATAACACACTCTCTCGTGTTTTTTGGGATTTCAAAAGGTGTTCACGGCTACCCTGCATCCCCATTCTCATTTGCATTTTGAAACGCACATCCCTATACGCAATGGCTCCAGAGCATCACTGTTGTGGCTCTTCATTTTCCCCAAAGCAGCAGCAAGCTGAAGTCTTCCTGATGGTTTAAATACTGCCCATAGGAATCAAAATAACCACTACACTGATAAGTAACAGAATACAGTTGTCATTCTGCCCAAGCCTGGGGAGGCCCCAGTCAGCAGCCACACAGCGCTGACTCCAAACTAAGGACTCCTATACTGCTGCATCTCACAATATGTTCTTATTTGAAGGGCTCCCTTCCCTTCCACAAGACAACCACCAGGCTTTTAGAAGCGGCGCAGTTTTACATGTTAATGGTATTCTCAAAGGAAAGATTCCCTCTTCACTACAGGCATGATTTTTCAAGCCTTGCACCAGAGAAGCATCGTTGTTTAGATAACCTTTTATGCAACACTAACAAGGACTACACGCAGAAAAGTATGGGGAGCAGGGCTCACAAAACAAAAGCATCAGCCACTGAAAGAAATACAAGCTAACCATGCTGTTTTGATAGAGACATCAGATTGGAACACCAAAAAAACCCCACAATTACAACTGGACTTTCCCAGATCAGAGGAAGTAGTGTGTGTGATTCAACTAAACTACATTTGAGGCTTGCACATTTTTGTTGCTAGTTAGGTTTTACTGTTTGTTTTGGGTTTTTTTTACCATGGCAGTGAGATGTTTATAGGTCACAAGTTAATCTGGGTGATCATTTAGTTAGACTAAAAACACCCTCAAGACACTACATGATGATGTTGCCTGCACTATTCCCACTCCAGTACACACTCCTTCAGACCAGACCTCAGCCCCACAACACGAAGGTATGGCAGCAAATGAAGACTATCCTACCCACAAGCATGCCTCATACACTGCTGAAAAAGAGCAGTGGAAGCCCCAGACCATCACTCTGTACAGCAGAGAGGACACACAGAAGTGCAAAAAAAAAAAAATCAAGACCTCAGTTAATAAACATAGGTTAGAGGGAACTACAGCTGGTTTAAAAACAAGCTGCTTAAACCCAAGCAAATCCTAGTATCAATTAATAAGTTTAATTTAAACCTGGCTATTTTGATTTCTTGTGTACTGACAAATTCATCAATGCAAAACAAACCGATGTAAATAGATTCATACTTGGCTCACATGCATCCAGAGTGCTTCTGAATGGGTGTACATAAAATCAGTTTTAAAATACAACGTTTTAACTATGTTAATGTAAAATTAAAATTGCTTTAGTAATTTCATTAAAGAATTCTGTATTTTGAGCTAAACAAAAATAGGGGAGAACAACATATTATGCATGATTTTTTGCAAAGCTAATTAGTCTAGAAATTATAGTATCTAATTTCCCAAGGCTTATTTTTAAGTTATATACAGAAAAATTAACGAGCACGGTGTAAAATTTTAATAAGTTAACTAGCTGAGACCAGAAAAGAAAAATTCTAGTAACTGAAAGAAGCATGAAGTCAGCCTACAGAAGACCCTGTATAAAAGAAAAGCTTTTAAGCATGTGGAATGAATTGTTTGAAGACACACTTTCACTATGGGCATCGGGCAGGAAGGGGGGAGTGCAAAGCGTGTCTGGCCCAGAGAGCTATTTCAATAGCATTTCCCCTCTACACATTCTAATCTGACTGTATTAGCTGACTGCTTTTAGCAGAACAAAGTTACAGCAAGAGCATGCAGGATAAGCTGACTTAGAACTTTGCAGCATTGGTTTTTAGCCCTACAGAAATACCACTGAGAAACACCGAGGCCTCTTGTCCCACAAAGGCTGAATATACCACCCAGAGGAACTGCCACCCCAACACTCTTTAAGAAAGTGCAAGGACTTAAACAGTTTCTTAGAGTTTGTTTCCCCATTGAAAAATCACAATTGTAAGTAGTCAACTGTCTAGATTTTTTCCACAAGTATCTTTGAAGGAAAATGAAGCCCTGATGAGAAAAGTAATTATATAAAAATATGTATATAAAAAAAAGCATCTTATTCAGTAGCTGCATAAGTTGTTATAACTGGCTGGTTTATCATTTGCTGACACTCTGACTTCTATTAGTAATGCAAAATGGATGCAGTCAGAGAAGGGTGAGGTAAATTCTATTCTCACCCGTCCTTTGAAAGCAGAGTCTAACAGCAATGAGAGTCAAAGACAAAAATTGCTTCCGGAATACAAGATCAGCTCACATTTCATTGATAAATACTTACAAAACAATGAGACACCTTAATACTGAAGTCACTGAGATACTTTTAAAGCACCTCAGAGTTTTCTGTAAGCCATTAACTACATTTTCAGGAATATTTCCTGAAAACAGGAAAGCACTTTTTTAAGCTTCATCTCAAAACGAAGACAGCTTTTAAACCTAACCTTTTCCTGCACTTTGGAACTGAGGTGTAAATGTCAGTGTGACGAGGTGGCTAGTGATTCAGCATGCTATCTTGCAGGAGACACTGAAGTAAACAATCAAGCTTGGAAAAGAATCAAAGTTCTGCTTGATGAACTTCTGACATACCACTCTGTGATTATGTAATGGTTTCGTTTCTGAAACATCACATGCTTTAGCCACACCAAATCCCTCCAGCAAAAGAGAAGGCTCTCACAAAAAAACCCTATAAACATTACTATTCAACTGGTTCATAAAGCTAAATGCATGATAATTACTGTTCTACTTTCTGCCAGTAAGCAGCAAGAACTGTGAAACCTGATGAAAAAAGTACACAAATGAAGGTCCAAACCTCCTGAGTCCAAATATGAAAACAGAAACCACAGGCACCTGAGAAAAGTTCTTTTGTCTTGAATTATCAACAGTTAGTCAGATTTACATGACTGACAATTTATAAGCATAGCTTTGCAACCCTATGTCCACCTTTGGGATTCAAATCTGTCTTTGGCTTCTTGCAGTTTCTCCTCTGCTTACATCACAGCTCTTTAAAAAAGACCAGATCTTCACTTAAAATTAGCAGATCAGCTACAGATACAATGTTGTGTTGATTTGCTTAAACCAACACAACTCGCTGTGAGGAGAAATGCCAGGACTCTATCCTACTACAAAGGTGACAATTTGGTCCTCAAACTTCCAATAAGCAGACATTCAGCGTCCCCTTCTCACCTCTGCTCTGAATTTATTTCCTGAAACCTGAGGGAGATGTAGGAAAAAAGAGAGCATGTAGCTCACACACACACACACATCACATGTGTGCCTAACAAGAGACAAGAAAAACAGACAGACAGATAGAAGAGGAAACACAACAACTTCTAAACAGCAATTTTTAAGAGAGGACTTACAGCAAAGAAAGAACAAGTGTCTTGTATACACATTTTTAAAAGTCACGACACTCAACATATCACTGACAGCAGCATGTTAAATGTTCTTCTAATAGAGGAATAAAGGAACTAACCTTCTCCACGGTTACATAAAAGAAAAAAAAAAGTGTGTAACTACAGTTTGTAAAATGTTATCTTCTACTTAAAATTACAATTTTGAAGTATAACTTTAAGTCAGCCTTACCCATTAATGTTGCTAGAAGACAGAGAGAATACATCTCCTTATCGACTTGCTCTTGCAGTTCCTTTGATGAGATTTTACTAGTCACAGCAACGTCTTCATGCTTCGCGGCACGGGCAGAGGGTGCTGAAGCAGACTGCCTGCCTTCCTCCTTACCTTTCAGGATTTCTATCGCAATCCTGTCACCATGCTGCAAAGGAACGGGCTCATTTTCCATGCCTTCTTTGGGAGGCTGAAGCTCTTTAGGAGGAAAGCCATAGCGAATACATTGCAAATACGGAGGAATATTGAATTCTCTCGCTATGCTTTCCTGTAGTTCCAAGAAGGTGGTAGTGCACTTTAGGGTAAGCATTGACTGCCTCCCATCATTTGTGGTTATTCGAATTTTCTTTTCTTTTGTAGATGTTGGAGAGTATGGGGTCTTTGTTGGTGTAGCAGGTGCAGATGATGGCCCCTCACGAACAGCCCCAGGAGAAGCAGTCCTAGGTTGCCCTTTATGCTCTTGTTTCAATTTCTCACTTTTCCGTTTTTGCATTACAGAAGCCTGGTCTGCAATGTTCTGCTGAATAGTTCTTTCGGCTTTGCTCATATTCAACTCCTCCTTGTGCAAAGTTTTTGTCTTCTGTCCAGTCAAAATAATTTTGGTTGGAAGTTGTGACTCTAACTCTTGTCCTTGCTGTACATCATCAGCTCTTTGGGCATGAGCACCATCGATATTTACAGGGGTATAATCATCAGGGTTCTTTTTGGCAGTTTGATGCAATATCGTGTTGACAACCTTCTGAACAAGAATCTCACTACCAAATTCACCAGGGAAGTGCTTGGTAACAAGTTTCATGGCAACATCATACACATTGCTGTTCAGAGATGTGTCACTTTCATACTGGAACCAGTAGACTGTCTCTCTCACCACTCTTCCACCCCACTCTAGAGTAATAGGAAAAGCTTCAGGGAGATTATCGTATTCTTTACCTTCCCAATAGTGCTTGAATCCACAGCCACATTTGCCACCTGTAGACCTAGTATTAGTTCTGTCTCCGTCCAAATATGAAACAGATCCATCTTCTCTGACACGACGCACTAAGTTACTATGACACCAGTTACAAGCAGTCAAACTACTCAGGTTATAGTCTGGTACCAGCACATCCTTTGTGGGGTTGTAAGAACACACCAAACTGTTCAGGGGAAAACTGTAATTTTTGTCAGGCCTTAGTTGGCCATGGGTACTTTTTGCCAGGTTATAGAGTTTCCCCCCAGGAGCCAGCCACTCTGGAGGAACATGATGCTCGGAAAGGGCGCCGCAGATGAGGCACCTGTGAAGGCGGTTGTCCATCACTGCTTTTTTGGCAGCTGCAGTGACTTCTTCAGGCTGGACTCCTATTACACCAGTCCTTCTGTAGAAATACTGATGTACGTCAGCTACAAGACTGGGATGGATACCGTGTTTACTCATGAAAACCTCCTCCATTGCAGCAACGAGCCTCATCAAGTACTTATCTTGCAAACTTCTGTCTCCTCCAATAACACAACCACCATCCTCCTCTAACTTGATGTACTTTTTGATGAGGTCTTGAGGAACTCCCCAGGCTTTAGGAAGTAGCTTCCTAGGCAGTTTAGGTAAAGCAGCACCTTTTATTCCAACTAGAGGAATATAATGGTTACGTCCTGAGCTACTCCATGCAATGCATATTGGCTTGTTCAACATGCCATCTTTTCCCATGCATTTTTCTAGGGGTACCAGACCAGGGAGGAACGTCGCTGAATAATCTCCAGAGCTTCGCATTCCACTTAATGAGTCTAACAGGATGATAGGCCGGTGAAGCACGTTGGCCAGACCAAAGATGTGAATATTCCTAAGGCCCATTGGCACACCTTCTGGAGGAACAAACAAAGGGTCACATTCGTTGATAATGTCCTCCCACTCCGCTGCATCAATAAAATCATGGAAAAGCGCCTTGTAGTGACTCAGGTTCTCCTCAAAATGCTTCTTTAAATTCTCTCGCAGAGCATGCCAGAACAGTTCTCTGCCAACAAGTGCCCGCGAGACTGCATGGACGAGGCAGTGGCCATCTCCATCCACGTGAACAGGAATGAGACACTCCTGACTGTTGTTGGCCTTCTTGATATCTTCCAGGGTGTCGTGCAGGTAGATGAGGCTGCCAGAGCGGTCCTTTCCGTAACCGATGGTTTCAACGTGCTCCGGCTCGATGAGGAAGGCGCGGTCACCCAAGAGGGAGCAGTCAAAGATGTCTCCCTGGTTCATCTCCGTGAGGAGCTTGGCTTTGCCGGTTTGCTTATCCATACCGTAGCGGGCCAGGATGGGGGCCAGGAGCTTGCAGTGGTAGTTGGAGAGGCCCATGACTTTGACGAGCTCGGTGTTCCTGCGGGGAGGGCCGGCGCCGCTGACGCCCAGCAGCGCGTTTCGCAGCAGGTTGTGCAGCACCAGGTCGGGGTCGGTCACCTCCTCCACGGCCAGCAGCTGCCGCTGCTCGTGGCGCTGCCCGCAGTCCGGGCACTCGATGCTTGCGCTGC